AATAGAATGGCGAGGAGATAGGATATCGTTATAAAACGTAAAACAAACAAACAGGGATCTCAGAGTACATGATACATTACGAACATATCGGTCATTGCAATTGTGGTGTCAATAAATGGGGTATGGGGGTAGCCAATGGTAACGATGGAATAATGGGTGGACAAGGAAGAGGTACATATGAACAGGGGAAGTGTGCGGCAGAGAATGAACGAAACGAACGACAAGATAAAGAAAGAAAGCAAGGTTTGGATATAGAGCCAAAACTCGACTTTCTTTAGTTCTTCTGTTCCTGCTCATCAGCAAAGCCGGCACGGCCACCCTTGCCAATAGCGTTAAGGGTAGCCTCCCGTCTGTCAAGGGCACGGAAACTGTAAAAAGAGAATGAGAAGGTCAACACCTGTCTTGTAAACTGAGATAATAAAAGAAAAGACATACGTGATGAAGAAGATGGTACCAACGATCCAGGCAGTGACACCGAAAGAGCCAAACAACCAAGCAAATTTGGGCTCGGTGTTGACAGCAGTCAAGGCAAAGTTCAGGGCAGCAGAGAGGGCAACCTGGAACTGCGAGAAGGCCATGACGACAGACTTCATGCGCTCAGGAGCCTTGGTGAAAGCGTACTCGAGGGAAGTGATGGAGGCAAAGATCTCAGACATGCCGACGAGAATGTAAGGACCTGAAACGACCCAGACGTTGATAGGCGAAGGGAGGTAGTTTCCAGCAGCATCACGGCACTCAGCGGGCTCATTGTCGTGGCAGGGAGAGGTCTTGTAGATGAAGTGCTGAAGGACAGCAGCGTAAAGCATAGCAAGACCAGCGACGATGAAACCGGCGTAGATACGCTTAATGGGAGTGAAGTTAATACCGCGACGACGGAGGAAGGGATAGATGAGATGGTCGAAGATGGGAATCATGATGATGATACTGATGGGGTTCAGGTTCCTGAGGGAAACATAGAGTTAGCTATGGAAAAAAAAATTGGGACGAGAAAAAAAAACATACTGGATGAGATCGTTGGGGGTACCGTTCAAAGTCATTCCAGCAGCGACAGTTCCAAGGTTACCATCGATTTGAGAGTAGCCTAGAAAAAAACAGAGGTCGATTAGTGAGCTGAATTGAGGCCAGCCAGGGAGAAGACGACGTACAGAGCCAGAAGAAGGGGAAGAACAAGAAGACACCGCAAGCATTGCATGTACGGGCGACCTCAGCAACGAAAGTGTCATCCCAGGTCATTTTAGAAGGAAGCTGGTCCTTGGCATAGAACGCTGTTGGTGGGGTAAAATTAGACGAGAACATTGACGAGAGATACGACTATGTCACTTACAAGGCTTAGCAGGATCCCAGAATCCAGGAGCGCGGATGTTGCGGATGGTGGTAACGGGGTTGAAAGACCAGGCGGGTGCAAGAGCTCGATTGATCACACGTACACTCTCCAAAAGAACCGATCCACGAGGAGGGGTCTTGACATAGTGCTTCTTTCCGGCGAGCAGAACGAGAGGGACGATGCAGAAGATGGCGGTGGGGACAAGGTATGCGACCCAGAAACCGTTATCGCGGGCAAGGAAAGACGCAGAGATGGCACCACAAGATCCAAAGTTGATACCGGCGTAGAACCAGAGATAGATACTCTGGATGGTAACGGCAGGAGACTTGATGACGGTTTCACCGGAAGGAAGAATTTCTGGTGGACGCCACATCAGGTGTTGAATAAAAAAGCGAGCTAGGTCAAAAACATACCTTTGCGGAGCTTTCCAGTGTACTGCTCGGCGATCATGGGGGAGACGTTGGCCTTGATACTACCAGCACCGAGACCCTATGAAAGGGTTAATAGGCAGTAGAATTTAACGTATCGCCCAATTTACCATGATCACAATAGAGAGAGCAAGGAGGCCCAAAGCAGCATCAGGTTTTGCGATAGAGTCTGGGGTAGCGGAAGCGACTAAGATGATATGACCGACTCTGAACCGAATAATGAGCTCCCATGCATAAAGGAAAACAAATGTGTCTTAACGTACAAGCAAACAACAGAGAATATCATAATGGTGTTGTAGCGGCCCCACTTGGTGTCAGCGAGGACACCACCAATGAAGGGAGTGATGTACACCCAGAAGGTGTTGAAGGTACCTAATGCAAAGTTAAGAATGGCGAACAGGGGAGAAATGGCCTGACATCACTCACGGATAGAGAAGGAGACAGGTTGGCCCTTGTTCAGAGCACCAGCGACACCACCGAGAGTGTTATTGACGACGGCACCCGTTCTTGAGCCTGGGGGGAGTTCGGAGCGAATGTAGTTGTTGAAGATGTTAGTCGTGCCGTAGTAGGACCATCTACAAAGTAAAGGTGAGCTGGGAACACAAAAGGGAGAGTGTTGAAAGAAACGAACCGCTCAGCGAACTCAACCAGGATAACCAACCAAGCAGACCATGGAAGCTTGTCAGAGACATGCCTGTAGGTGTCCAGGTCTTGCTGCGTTACACCCTCTGAACCCTCGATGAAGCTTTGATTGTCGAACTTCTCATCATCGATGGACGCGACCTCCTTGGCATTAGCGAGCGCTTTCTCGTGCGATTTCTCGTCGATGGAGGTCATGATGTGGGGAGGGGGGAAGGGGGGAAAGGCAATCCACGAAGATGCTTAAGGTAGCGCAGAAACGAATTTGGCGCTTTATATATTCAGAGCATGAGCCTGGTAGGCCGATGGCGTACCATAATGCTGCACATCTGCTGCACATGGATGAAAAGCTTGGCATGTGGGATTTGGGTGCCAAGGGAGTAGAAAACCGACGGCCTTTGGAGGTTTCGATCTGTAATGCTGACCTGAGGTCGAAATTTTAGAACGCAAATATCTCGGGTTCTAGTAAACCGAAAAAATTCAATTGGGGGATATTGGTAGCCTCCGGGGTTAAGGATGTTGCTTCCTCATTCATTTCTCCAATACAGATCGCTAGTGCACCTGGAGAAGCTCTTTCAGCTGCAGCTGGCAGAGTTAAAAATGCCAAGACCTGGATGTATCCGGGTGGAATAATAGATGCGGGTAAGGAGAGATCGCCAGATGGACTCTTGATTTTCTATCTCATGCTGTCTGGCTGGGACAACCTGCCCGAAAAAAACCTTCATACGTTGATCGTGTAGGAGCGCCATCTGAATTGTTCCAGATACATGAAATGGCGCAATTGCATGATCGCATGCCTAACAATGTCTAAAAGGCGCATCACTGTGTCAGTCATTACCAGACATACGACGACCTATAGGAATTCGTATTTACCTCCAACTTGTTACGGGATTTCCACATGTACCCAGCATTTCATGTAAGATTAAGCTGTTCATCATTCATCCTTATCAGACGCTTGTTGCATTGTGTCGGAGGAATATTGTGGGGACGAGTGGAGACGGACAGAAACAAAGCCGCGCTTCCACCAATCCAGTTGGCGCTCTTTGTTTGTTTCGGCATGTTCCAGTAAATCTCTCTGCACAGCCACCACTCCATCAGCATCCCGAAGGCCGATTCCCCCCTCCATGAACAAAGATAATTTTAGTCAGTTTAGAACGGCCGAAATACCTGTTTCCCCAGATTTTCAAGGTGGAAGTTAATCAAAGGCCCTCTCGGTTCGAGTCACACATAGACCGTCCACAGTTTCCACCGACTTTCACCAGCCTAAAATTGCTAATCAATTCCTCGTGGCATTCAATGACGACCAAGCCGAACGCGCTCTGATCGTATATTGGCCTTGTGTGAGCGCGACGGGTCAGTGTCGTCACTGTCAGCATTCAGTCTTACTATGTTACACTTGCATAAACAAGGTTTAATTACTCACCATGGATGTAGAGCGCGCTGGCATTCGACACTGAGGGAAATTCCAAGCTCAATAAGAAGCCGGATCTAATCTTTTACATTCTCTTAGTTTGAATTGTATGAGAGCCTAATGGAATGTATCACTTTCACCTCGTTTTGGAATACTATGTCCATCTGATCATCCACTTTTGATTGCCATCAGAAGAAGCACCACTTGTGCGTGTGATCACTATGAATGCATTACACGAGTGCATATGCTCCAACGTCCCATGCGCAACGTGAAGGATGAATCTCTAAAAGGGTATCGTCCCTCAAAAAGAAGCACGATATGTAGTGAGGACCAGATCTTGACAAGTGTCTAATTCTTCTTTGAAGCCTTTCGTAAGGTGGCCAGGTGGTGTACCTCGTTCTTAGCGTTTCTCACTATTGCGTGCTCTAATTCGTCTATATCCTTGTTAGGCGCTAATCTGCGCGCATTAATCGCGCATGGCGAACGCCAAGTACCCACAAGTGCGCTGGTCAATACTGGCCTAGCCTTTCGCACGTGCATGTGTTAATGTGTTGTGATATATCTTGGACCACTGATATTGGGCGTCTACGGAATGATAGGGTCACCACAATGACAACCGATCCTCATCGGGCTGCCATTCGCATAGACATTTCGATTTAACGCGCAAATTTTAAATTTAGAAATGCGTTAATATGATTTAAAATTATCCTGACATGACAACACGAGCTCGATGGACATACTTACATCAAATATGGTGAGTGTCACAATCTGGAGCTGCGCAGACGGCTGACAATAATGTCCCGCACTAGGACGCCGGCAACGAGTAATGGGATAACCCAAAATCCACAATACAGATCGATTGGCAAGTGTAGATGTAGAATTTAATTGACGTGCTAGCCTAGGCAAGACGTTCTCGCTGAGGCAGACCGACGTTCCAACCACTGATGAGATGCAATATCCAATATTCTAGCTCATGCGCTTAACATTAAAATATAAATTCTCATCATGACCCATCGCCATCATATGTGTGTACAAGCTTAAACCCTGCATATTAAGTTCACATTCTTCGAACACGAATGCCGCTTCAAAGAAGGAATTTCAAAATATAGACGTCAATTGATCGTCACCCACCTTAATCTGAGTTGCCATCAAAGGATCAACACCACGCGCGCAACAGCGATTCAGAGGACAAAAAAAGAACCGACGGTGGGGCTCGAACCCACAACCTCTGCCTAACTCATGATCTTAGAAGATCAGTAGGAAAGCAACGCACTACCATTGTGCTACGACGGCGATGTTAGATGCATCATCCCACTCAACATCACGCCACAGTCTGCAGATGACAGGTGACGTGGCGGAAGCGCTTAATACTCGCACTTACCCCCAAACGAAATGGTGTGCCTGATTATTATCACAATTAGAGCCGTGTGCATGGCATGTACGAAACATTCGGTGTATCTGAGACCTAAAATTAGAGAGGGGAGTGATGACACTTAAATACAGTAGTCCCTGATATTTCCTGCCACCTGTAACAAGCAGAATTGATTGCAACGTCATACACAAATCATAGAATGAAAACGCCAACACGATGACATTGACGCCGACATGACTTAATATACATGGCGTTTAACCCATCTCCACGCCCCCCTTTTCTCGACCGACGTTTTCTCTGTGGTGACCTCAACGGGCATTCCTTCAGCAGGCGACCACACTGCATCGGTCTCAAAGTCCACTTCTGATACTGGGACGAAATGGTGCTTCTCTCCAAGGACAAACTTCTGATATACGGTGTAGCTGGTGTATAGGATGATGTAGAGTGCGACGCCGATGTAGGTAGCAACAACGTTCTGACGAAAAATGAAAATCAATGCTGATAGCACACAAGCGACGACAAGGGCGACTCACCTTAGCCTCAAAAGGCTCTTCCTTCACCGCCGCATACCCTTGAGCAATAAACATCAATGTCCCAAGAATAATAATGCCAATGGGCAAAACAGGAAACAGTGGTTGTCGATATGGCAAACTGTCCAACGAAAGCCCCCGTGCTTGAAATGCATATCTAAATCTCAACGAAATGAGCCCAATACTCGTCCACACCATCAACGCAGATATTCCCGTGATATTCAGAAGCCATCCAAACGCAATACCAGCACCCCATATCGTCGTGAGGAACGTCAAGCAAGAAAAAAGCAGAGCCATCCTAGAAGGAACAGTTAGGATTATGTCAATTTGGGGTTTCCCTAAAATGTCAATGAAATACTCACAAGAGAGCTGGAACAGGTACTCCTCGCCTGTTAACCCACCCAAAGACTTTAGGCGCACTTCCCTCCCTCGCAAGAGATAGAAGCATGCGAGAACTCGCGTAGAAACACGAGTTTGTCGCAGATAAGACGGCAGTCAATAGCACAGCATTTACTATGTGAGCAGCGGGCCCGAATCCAGCCCGAACAAATACGACGGTCAAAGGGGAAGCAGCGACGTCAGAATCTTCAGAAGAAATCAGCTAAAGGAGAAAATGGAAGCGTAAAAATGGAAGGTTACTAAAGGCAGCTGACAGTAGTGTATCATCAGCATGGTTGATGCATAACCCCATCGTGAGGATAGCCAGGATGTAGAAAAGAATGATGCGGAAGAACGTTGCCTTGATTGCTCTTGGAACTGACTTGTGAGGTTTGTCGGATTCGCCAGCGGCAACGGCGACAAGTTCTATGCCTCCAAACGAGAAGAAGGCGAAGACGAAGGTCTGTGCAAAGGCAGAGAATCCACCGATGAAGGCTTGGCCGTTGTGGAAGTTGGAGAGGCCCTGCAAAAATGAAAAAGTGAGCACGGGAGTGGCATGTAGTCACGCACCGGGCCAGGATGACCTTTGACCCCTCCCCAGTCGAAAATCAACCCCACAAAGATGAAGAATATGATCATGAGGACCTTGATGAGAGCGAACCAGTACTCTGTCTCGCCTGTGGTTAGGAAACCATGAATGAGTCCCCTCGTAATCGAATCAAGACATGGCAATCCTCACTTACCATATACACGGACGTGAATTAGCTGAAGGACGAAAATAGGGACGATGATTATGATGGCCCAATGCCATGGTTGAAGGGCTTGCGTCCAGAATTGGAGGATGACAGAGGCAGCTGTAAGTTCACTGGCTGCAAACTTGACATTCAAATTTTAAGCGAATAGGTTGGATGGAATAACTCACGAATTGACAAGCTCCTGAGAAAGGCGGAATAGTGGTGCATTAGTGACCATTTGTATCACAGTGAGTCAGAACGAATACCATTGTAACCAATAATTCCATCCTACAAGCAGAGGTGAGTATGAGATCTAACGAGAATTCACCCTTTAGACTCACCAAGAGTAAATCCTAGTGCCTTTGATACAAAGCGCGAGCCAAAGATAGAGAAGGCGCCAGATACTGGATACATGGCCGACATCTCTCCCCTAACATTGTGAGTCAAATCCCCCTTGGTGGGAGGTGGACTCTGTATACTCACAAAGAAATCACGACGGTGTAAACGAAAATCCCAACGACAAAATACGACAACAGGGTACTTCCAGGTCCTGCTAGAGCAATCGACTGATACGATGTCAATTCTTCCCTTTACACGTCATATTGAACGAAGAGAACAAACCGCTCCAGCACTGAGGAATATCCCAGTCCCAATTGTACCGCCAATCGCTATTGAACATCATGTTGGTCAGAGCGATATCGCTGTCTATCTCTGTAAGGATTCTCACCTATCATCATAAGGTGTCTACTCTTCATCCCCCGATGTGTATCCCGTCCTTCCTCAGCACCCAGCCGCCTCCAAAATGCACCTCTCCTATTCTCATCTTGAGTTGAAGACACCGTGTCCAGACTTGGGTCTTCCTTCTGGTCGGCCATTTTGTCAGATTCGGTGAAGAAGAGCACAGCCGAGCAATCAACTCACCCATTGCGCTTAAAATTCTTGCATTATCACCGTGGCAGATGTCGCAAGACGAGAAGGTATTGAAACAGCTGGCCGGGTATCTCCATGAGGGTGAACTATTTTTGGCCTCAAGAGTCAAGACCTCTACAGAATTTGAACTCCGCGTCAAATTGAAATGCCCGAAAGCCAGCATCGCTCGGTTCCCATGAGCGACCATGACTCGGACGTTGATGAATATCAGTTCATTTATACGAGGAGCTTTCTGGGTCCCAAAATTTAACCCTTTCCCTGTCTATACCACCTAGAAATGGCCTACTCCCAAGAGGCAGAAATTCTACCGCTCTTAGGGGACTCTCAAGGTCGCTATCGAGTTTACATCCTCGGCAACAGTGGTGAGAATCAGAGAGAAGGTTTTTGAAGCTGACCATTAAATTTGATGACCTGGTTTCTGCTTTCCCAGGTTCTGGGAAGGTAATTTACAAACCTCGTCCATTGAAATATATCTAAACAACGCTCTGCGGCCCTCATGGAATACAGAGTACGACAGCAAAGGAATTAGCCGCCATCCTGAAAGTTCCAGTCATATCAATGGACCAGATAATGTGGGGTCCAGGCTGGACGCCCTCGTCTAACGAGGAATTTCAGGAGAAGTTGCGTCGTAAAATGGCGGAATCACCAAATGGCTGGATTGCGGATGGTGACTATCTTCGAAAAGGTTCCCAAATTGCTTTCGACGATGCTACTGACGTTATTTGTGAGATTCGCATTTTCTTTCACAATACTAACAGCTCATGGGATAACAGGGCTTGACCCTCCACTTCTGCTCTACTTCCCAAGGATTATCATCCGCACTCTTCGACGTCTTCTTCATCTCGATCCACCCTGCTGCGAAGGATGTCCAGAAACTGTCTCTGAAGCCTTTTTTTCGCGCAAAAGCATTCTCCTTTGGTCCTTAAGTGGGCACTGGAGTAATAGGAGGATTAATGCAGAGAAAATGCAAGAGTACGACGTCAGCAATGGTTCTCGAATCGAGAGTAGGAAAATGAGGAGAATCGGTGGATGGGGTGGGGACCTGCGTACATGGATGGCATCGGTGAAAAGACTGTTATCAAAGTAGGTTGGCAAGGTCTCACCAGCGAGGCTCCATTTTGCATCAGGTCGCAGTACATTCTGGCCACTTTTTTGGCCAAACTTGAACGCGTTAACGTCGATGGATCCTCCCCTATCTTGCGGGAGTCCGCCAAAACTTTGGACTCTGGTAGCTAGATGTCAATTAAGTATAGGATTAGTAAAAACAGATGCGTTTACAGTAGAAGTACCAACGAAGACTTGCCATCAATCGAAGCTGTATACTGTTTAAGTTCATCCCCCCAAAGATTCTATCTTCTCCGCCTTTTATGAGGGCAACTATGTTCTTATCGTTCTTGGCTATCGTCATGCGCACTCCCTTTGGGCAGTCTGCACGATCAATGGATTGAAATGTGATGCTAGACATGGATGGGATCTCGTTACTCGGCGGGCACTTTACGGAAGATTGTAACACAGAAAAATCGGTGCTTTGCCTGTTGTGAGGGGGATAGGTGGCAAGAGAAGAGGCAAGGGAGTTTTTGGTTTCACCCCAGTGAGCGGTTCACTCGTATTTATGTATATGCTAGATTGAACAACGCGCTGCCCGCTAGACGACCATTACCATTCTATGCCTTTAAACAATGCGGGGGTTACCAATCAGTGACCTGTGTCGCATGCTGAGAACCAAGAGCGACCTCCCTATGGGTGTAACGGGGTGTTATACTATCAAATCACTCCGTCTTTTTCATTTGCACAGCGGTCTATATTCGTGATTTTACTAAATGTGGATATCTGCTGAGTTGCGGGCGCTAGCAGACGCTTCCCCCCCCCCTCCCCCCCCAGCTAGTCCCTTTTTATCAGTAGTGGTGACTGAAGAGCTTCATCGACGGTCTTAAAATATCATATTTACGTTTCCATGAAGCCAATGAAATGGTAATCAAAATGCATTAAATACAAAACGAAAGCTGAAAAAGTTGTTCAGAAAATACAGCTGTGATATGGATCTCACAAAATAAATTATCGCAATGTATACGCTGGCGGAGGTAGACTCCCAACATCCCAAGTATCGTAGCTCAGCTCAACCAACCCCTTCTTTTTTGGGACTTGATCGAGTGGTTCATCCTGCTTAGGCGCCCGCGCGCTACCCGAACAGGAAATACTCTCACTCTCCGATCTTGTCACCATCGCTCCTCTACTTCGTTGACCATTAGACGAAGACGATGTTACAAGTGAAGGAGTCGAGTGAATATCGGGACGGACTGGGATTTGAGAACATTCATCGTATATCCTGGAGCTTGGTGTCAGCGGTCC